ATTATATATAAGTATAGTTTTATGTGTATATGTGCTTTCCCCCAAAGAATTTGTACACTAAAGTTTCAATAAATGAAGAAAACTTTTTTGTCGTTTTCACAATTGATAGTTTACTAGAGATATCGTCTGGAATTTGTTTTTTTATTCCTGGTTCATTTTAAAGAAATATACTTTTTTGCAAAACCGGCTGCATATTTTTGTTATATATCTGAATCGTAAGTAAATCTTGATCAGTTGGCAATTCACAACACTAATGGCAGAAACGAATGAATAATGGCAAAATAATAATGAATAATGGCTTCTAATGGCAAAACAATTAAAAATAATAGCATTTCTTTTTTTTATTATTTAAAATGTTGTGAAGAAAATACTCCATTAAAAGTATTAGCATGGATGGACATATTTTCTATTTTAATAATACACATATAAAGTATTTGAACAATACAGATGAGGAATTGAAAACCCATCTCAATCACAACGATGAAAAACTTATTTTGGAGGATTCACCCAAAACTAATAATTCAAATATCATGTATTTTATATATGGCAACCACATTCTGTTTGATTTTTTTGGTATGATATTACTTACATATGAACTAATCTTCTCATGTTTGTTGTTATCATCACGTTGCAGCTGTTATACCCTTCGGTCTTTTTCAGGTGTCTGTCAATCCTGGTAATCTTTATGGAATTTCGAACTCAAATTAGTATTTAATCCCCGAAGGTAGATTATTCTCGTTCCGTTGTCTATGTCTAGAGATATATTGTCTTTATTTTTAGTACTGCTTGTCCTTTTCTACCGGGTGTAGCAATATCCGTTTTCTGCTGATATTTTGTTAAGGAAACATCTGCAGGATGTTACAGAAATCGTATTCACAATTATCGTCTTGACAAAAAGGTCAGCTGAGTGAAACGGATCTTACAAAAACTATACCAAACGAGCATAACAAAGAAAGCAGCTGAGTGGAGCGGACTTGGTGAGAGACGATTTTAGGCGAAAGCTGACAGGACAAAAAACGATTGTTCTCTATAAAACAGCGGTCCCTAGCAACCAAAACAGAGGACGACTCGAAAAGGAAGACATACGCCGGTTAGAACGTTCGCCATACCCTCACCTCGCCTCACTTTTTTCTCGCTCACCTACAACCGTCCCTTACGAGAGGGTTACAACTGAATATAATTTGCCGACTGCTACAATTACGTCTCTTTTTTTTTTCTTGAGTAACGATCCAGTCAAGCAATTATTTGTCTGGTGGCTGGTTTCAGCAACGCTACAGGCTTATTATTGGTAGCGTGACCAACGGCAAATAGCGATTCGACGACACCAGCCGTGAGAAGAGGACCCTAGCCGGGAAAAGACAAGCAAGGAAACGGAAAAATCCCAGTAAGTACCTGATTTGATTCCTTGTCGGTTTCTCTTTCTTCTTTCCGCCATGAACCCCCAAATGTTTACAAGTGCACTCTCTCACTTAACTAATTAAATCAGCTGTGGTGTTCCAAAATAATCCGTTAGCTTTCTTTTCAATATCACAATGTTCGAGAGGCAAAAGAAAATATATCAAATAGATTTAGAAAGATATTTTTTAGATGCCGAAATACCGGGAGGAAGAAAAACCTTCGTAGTGTATCAGTTATGTACCGGGAAGGCGGCGGACCTAGTGGGACACCTTGAGTCAATCTCAGCTGCAACATGGAACGAGATGAGGATACTGTTGGACCGATGCTATGCGGAAACCGTAGTGTAGTCTCACAAGCCCTTTGCAGTTGGACTCCATAGGGAATGGAGAAACAAATAGTGTATGTTATAAACACTGAATGATGCTGCAACGACGGACCAATCTATTGAACTTCTAATTGCTATATTATCAAATTCACGAAGCAATGATTTTAATCGACTACATTTCGTGGAACAATCCTAAGCACGGAACTTGTAACCTTAAATTTAATCTTTCTTGCCTGCATATGACACTGCGGCTGCTGCTACTATCATGCTTATAATAATAATGGTTTAAAGACTCAATGAATACAAATAATAATATAATATCTTGCAATTATAAAGACGTCTATGATCTAACAATTTAACTAAAAAAACACACTGTAATATATATAGATGACTTCATAATAATTTATGAAAATAAGTATTAATTGAAAACATTGATCGAAGCAGAATTTTTATTGGAATAATGGAACGGAATCCAGTATCGAGAAATTTCCAATGCTGTTAACACACAAAAGGAAAACAGAAACCTAAATAACGAATTACCCAACAAAGAAATCATCAGGACACGGAAAGGTTAATACTGTAAAGTTTAAAACTGTACACTTTGGAATGTGGCAAATGGGCTCAGTTGAACGGAAAGAAATTGAATGAAGAATCCATTATTTTGTCTTACACCTCATTTACAAAATCACAACCAAAATTCTAGAAATGACTATTAGATTCTATCATTTGAACAATTTCTTAAATATACCCCTAAAGAAAGCCTTTGTTCGAACACTATTAAACAAAACTTAACAGAAGTACAATGATTGTCATTTTCATATATATATATATATAATATATATATGCTAAAAATATAGTTTTAAGGTATGCTATATTTATGAGTTAAAGTGCTCAATATCAGGGATAGAGCGTATGTAAATATAAAAGTGGACGTTGAGGTCAACACCCAGCTGCAACAGCCTGTTTTATGCTGAATCGTTATGGCTTGACGATTGCGTTTAAACATGAAACAGACCTTTGTCGCTGGTGTTGACTTCAATCTCCTCTATTACATATGTGATCTTTTTCAATGACAGGGTTTTAAAATGTTTGATGTTTGATTTCCTACTACACGATTTGTTTGCCGCATAGATTCTTTAAGATTTTATCGGCAATACTTTTCTCGCACCCTTTCTTGCTTTGTTTTACAGACTTCCAGGCGTTTCTTGTGGACATCCTGAACAGTTCCATTAGTTTCGAACTTATCTCAAATTTGAGGGATGATAACGAGCGACTGAAATGAACACGACAGAAATTTGAAATGTTCACGCCAATATCTGATATTTTGCGTCAACAACCCATACGCTATATATATATATATATATATATATATATATATTACAGTTAATGGTCAGACTTAAATTAGACCAGGAAGAAGTAGTATTAAAAGTGCTCAATACACATATAAAAAGAGAAAAAATTAACATGTAGAGTTTTTAAGTATAAATTGCCTGCAGATACCGAACGGTTGAAAACCAAGGTAGCGAAATCGATTGACTGGACTCTGTGGGTGTTGAACAAACACAAAATACGCCTGAGCAAGTGTCTGCAATAGGGATTAGCTAGCCGCGAATACGAGTGGCCATTAACGTTAAATATGCTGAGTCTGGAAATGTCATATTAGTGAAGCTACTGGAGATGTGCTTATGCTAAGAAAAATATTATCTGAAATTATTTCTGATAAAACTAACACGACAATAGAATTCGGGTTACTCGGGTATTTTGGTGTTCCTCGAAATCTCAAAGTAATGAGTTACATTACTCTTAGGTCGAGTCAATTATATCTGAGAAAGAAATGAATATGTATGATTATACTGCGATGAAAAATGATAAAAAGTTATTTAAGAACCATTTTGAGTGGAATTGACAGACACTGTTACTGGTATTTTTACGAAATAAAAATCAGGAGACAGGGAGATTGTTATGTAATTTCTCTTTATAAATAATTTTAATTGATCCTTCTCTCTCTCTCTCTCTCTCTCTCTCTCTCTCTCTCTCTCTCTGTCAATATATATATATATATATATATATATATATTAACCTCTAAACCTTTCTGAAGTTTTTTTCTCATTTAATTACTATATTTACTGGTTTGCTTCTTTTTCTCTCATCTTCGCATTACCCTTTCTCTTAATTTCTATTTCCTCTATTTTTGTTTTGTTCCTTCTCACTTTTCCGTGTTCCCTCGAGACGCCATTCTTCTTTACTTCAGTTTATGTCTTTATTTGAATATACTGCTCATTTTCTCTGCCTCCATTTTCCAAATTTTTTCACTTCTTCTCACCATTATTTCTGTTTCCAGCATTATATTGAACAGTTTCTTCTTGTTTTATTCATACTTCTTTTATATGCTGTGAGCGATCTTGACTCTTCACTACTTTTACTTCTTTATAGCTCTAAGCAATGTTTATATTTTTAATATTTCTCCTACGCCTTGTTCTTCCATCCGTTTACACAAACTCGTAACGTAGGTTATTCACTGTTTCCTTCTCTCTTGCTTTCTATGTGAATTAGAAGTTGAAAATCCCTCTTTCCTCATGTGTCCCAGAAATTTCTTTCTGATTCGAAGTATAAGTCCATTTTTTTCTATTTTCCCTAAAAATTCCTCGTTTCTCATGTACTCCCTCCATAGTATTCTTATCATCCTTCATTCGAACCACATGTCTCAAGTCTCCTCTTCAACTGTGAGGAAACTATCCAACACTAACTACCATAATAATTGATTTGTTTTGATTTTTTTTAAAAGACTTATCAACCCTTTTCGGGTTATTTAAAAACGAACCATATTATACATTATTAAAATAATTATTTTTGCGAGTGAACAAATTCTGGAAAATACCAATGACTTTTCGTGATAAAAGTCCTACCATTCAATTTATAGCGGGGGTGGGGAAGGATTCATATCCTTTCCCAAGGATATTTGTGCGTAAATGATTGTAAGCAACCCGACTGTAATTTGAACGTGGCTCTCCGAGCCGCTATCTATTACACAGGCAGATGGAGAAGAAGGATAAAATTGTATTGTCTCGAATTTACTTTTGGAAAAGACTGACTGATTGCCTACCTGTCTTGAAAGCCAGCGTCCAAAATTTTGGCGTTTATATTTTCTTTGGAATCCTGGATTTTTACCTAAACTTGAGGCGCTAATGATATATACGAAACCATCTCTACACTGACGCAGTCGTTCATTTTGAATTCTCTTTTACTCGCTGTTTCCTTTTTTTCTGTTATAATTAAGTGCCTCTTTTCTTTCTTTTTCTGTCCATTTTTTATCTTTTTCAATCTTTCATTTTTTTCATTAACATTCGTTTTACCTTTGTCTATTTCATTGCTTCAATCTTAACCCCCCCTCTCCTCTCTCTCTTTTTCTTTCTTTAATTAAAGTTTTTCACTAATACTTTTCTACCCTTCATTTTTCTTGCATCCTTTCTTTTTTATTCTATTATTTTTCTTAATTTCAGTTCTTCACTACTACTCATTTTCACCACTCACTCTTTTCCTTTCAAAAAAAAATCTCTTCTCCACTATTACGCTCTCTTTCTGCATCTATCATATTTTCATGTTCTCTGTTTGTCTATAATTCCAATACAGTAATGACATGATATGTTTCTTAAGTACAAATTATGAAGCTGCAAGAAGCTAAAACTATGATGATATACCTTACTGTCAATTAATTTTTTTACAACATCACCTCTTTGCAAGAAAGGCGAGAAATACATAAAATTTATCTTTCCTATGATGCGTTTGGCTAGTTTTAGCAATCAGAACATTATTAAAGAAAATTCCTTCTAAATCAGAGTTAATATTCCTTAATTTTTTATATAATTTTTACTTCATTTTTTAAAAAGTAATAGTCAAATATGAAAATGTTGCTATTATCCGCTCCTGGCAAGCCATCAGAATTGTGAACATATTGCATACGTTAAAATGGCGTTGGAACATTCGAAAATATAATTAAAAATTTAAATTGACATAATAAAATCCATAAAAATTTAGCAGGCTTTTATTCGTGTCATTGACCAGTGAATGGAAACATTCAATACTCATATCTGCACAGAAATATCATTAAAACTCCATTTTTCTCGATGTTATTCATTGAACCTAGCCAAGCCAAAAAAGCAAAACAGTGCGTGTCTCGACGTATTTTTAGATGAATTCAAATCCAGCTACGGGAGGTGGGAAGCTGTATTTTTTAATTTTTACTTTTTCTTTAATTCGTTTTTATTCATTTTATCTTTAGCGCCTACTGTCTAAAACTTTTAATTTTAATCATTAAATAAATTCACTTCAAATTCTTTTCTTATGTTTTCTTTTTTTTAAGTTTAATAAGCAAAGACGAGATGTTTTATAATTTATCATTTTGTAAGCAAATAATAGCATTATAATTCATAATCAGTTTTCTGAATTATAGTTATATAGAAATAAGAGTAGGATATATTTTATAATTCATATTTATATTGGCAAAGGATTCACTCCAGACAGCTTTCTTATAAGCATTATTTATTGAATATAACATTATGGTCATATTAAGGAAATTATGAGGTTTACGTTGGAAGTAAAGGATTCTTCTTTCGCAAAACGTAAAGTTGTAACAGCCAGATGGCTAGGTTTTACTGTTCTCATACTCTACTAAATTGGAATGAATTTAATATAGAAAGAATATTTATATACTAATCTTCACAGTGCAATGAGTACATGAATTTGGTGTATCTGATCGCAATTCTCTGATCGCATCCTCAAATAAAAAAGGTAGAAAATAGTGAGAAGTCGGATGGTACACTGTTTTTTGGGGTTTTTTTTTTAAGAAAGATTTGTTACCAGCATATGTTGGAAAAATCAGGGGTTCAGTTACTTCGTACTTAAACGTGCTCAGAGTAGAATAATGAGCCTTTAATTGGATATGACTGCACAAAGCAGTTGGAGGTGACACTTTTACTTATCTCCTCTCGGTCTCGATCTGTCTAGGACGTGTGTAAGCTGGGAGTTGTGCTTTATGACATTTCATAATTAAACTGTCAAGAGAGATGAGTTCCAGGTCCAATAAAAGAGGAACCGTTCAGTCAGCTAACAGCATTTCATTCCGGGTCAACGCTAGACATAATGAACCTTATCTGACACTCTTCGCATTACACATTTTAGTCTAGTAGTAGCCGCTCTCGTCTCGATATTGAAGCACATGAATAAAGTAGAATGAGTTCTTCAACCGCTTTTTGTCGTTCATCATTTTTCGACAAGTGTTAGTGTTCGCTCACCTCACTGCATCCAGCGATCAACCAAAACGTGACATCTAAAATCCAACCAGGTGCTGATCTAAGATGCAACGCTACACATTCCTGGAGAGCGAATCAGAATTATAGCAAGTCAACTCTTGTGCATGTATTCCCCATTTGATATCGATTTATCAACTGAGTCGGTATGCAGATGATGTAGTTGTTATAGTTTTATTTAACGTGGGAATACACATGCGGAAACACGTAATCAGTTTAGAAATAACAAGTATGTATAATGGTTCGCAGAAAACAATTAAATATATTATTACTCTGAAACATTAAACAAAAATTGATAGATCATCGTCCTAGTTGTAAAATCTATTTAATTACCGACAATAACGTTGATCATACATTTCTCGTTATTATACGTATTCTTTTATTACTTATTTTTATCTTAGCCTTGTAAAAATCCGTATAGTCACGCTGTTCCAGTTAGGCGCCTATTCTTCTTCAAGTAGAACACACAAAAATTAAGGACAACTGACTACTGTATTCAGTTTACTAAATAGAACAGTACTTTTATTTATGTCTTCTTTTTTCGAAAACGACACTTTGCCATAAAAGTAAGTAGATATAAACTACGTCTAGAGATTATATGCAAGTTATGAATTGGTATAAAGAGTTGCGTCTTTAATGTTAAAAGTCCTATTATGATGTTGTTTAGATTCTACTCAATATTATTAACTTAGATATATAGTGATAGAGAAAACTATTGTTTTTGGTTGGAAAAAATTTTACTAAAACAGACTAATTTGACTGTCAGTAGTTTATTTGCAACTATTTATTTTGATACTTTTACATTATTATACCTTGTAAAACTAATGTAAAAAATAATATGAAAAGATTTTAGAACAAATTCGTCAATTTCTTAAAGGAAAAACATAAAAAAAACATTTTATTTTAAAAATAAAAGATATATTAACAAAAACTAATAAGAACCTCCTAAAATTTATTGCACAAACGGTCCTTTCTTTTCAATAAATCTTAGCAGCCTATTGTCAACATCTGATGTTAGATTTGCAATTTTAGCGGCTGGTAAGTTGTTTGCAGCAACTTTAACTGCCTCCCAGAGGTCACACTTGCTGTTGAATTGCCTTCCATTAGAATAAATATCTCTCTTGAGGATGCTCCACAGGTTCTCAATGGGATTCAAGTCACAGCTATTTGAAGGCCAGTCCATTAGAGAATCTTCAACAATCCCTTTTCTTTCAACCAGGATTTAGTAAACTTTGATGCATGACTTGGTGCGTTGTCTTGCATAAACATCATAGATCAACGCTTGCTAAGGACTGGTTATCAAGCCATTCAAAGAAATATTGCTCTAGAAAATCACAGTAACTTTTGGAATTCATTCTAACCCCGCCTTTCAGTTTAAATTGACCCACGAGCTCATTATCAATAATCCCAACCCATATCATGATCCTACCGCCGCATTGTTGGCGTTTAAAAAATATCTTGAGTCATGTTGCTTGCAGACCACATTGCCACATTGCTACAAACCGAAGAGGCCTCAAGGACAAAGAACTTTCCCTGCAACATGCGAACCATGAGGCCTTCAACAAACTTACACAACGGAGCTACCAACTTGCAATGAAAGAAGACGTGACCTAGGGCCTCGACTTCCCCACTACAACGTCGGCAGTTTGGAGATTTCTCCAAGCCCGCTGCGCAAACCTTTTTAGCAACCCAGAGGGCCCCACGCATCACCAGCCAGGTGAGGGATGTCTCATCGTTATTGAGACATTTCAATCCGAAAGCCCAAGGCCAGATCGAGCGAGCCTCCTGCTTCGTAAGACCAAGCTCGTCAATCAGATTATCATGAACGGACCCCCTGACTAACACTTGATATAATGCCCTACAAATCCTGGACGTTGGAGAGGCCATCCGACGCCCGTAAGAGGCGTTTCAGAGTATGACGACATTCACGGTAGGAGCACTCGGCTCGGGGTAAACGGTGGGTCTCCTCCTCGCACGAGTGCACACTTCTCAAGGATGGGAAATTTCTACGGGCGTCTTCCTTCCAGAAGGCACCCTCCTCATCCAGTTCGCGACACAAACGATCTAGGACCCCGATGCGAAGCATATCAAGACGAATCTCAATGCTAGGCATACCTAAACTGCCTTCAGATTGATGAAGGCAACAGATCTTCCGAGATACCCTAACGGCTTTGCCTCCCCACAAGAAAGAGAACAAGAGCCTTACTAATGACATTAGTGTGGCATACGGAAGTGGAAGTACCGAGAGTCGGTAAAGGAGAATTGGGTAGATATGTGAAACACATACTTCCGCCCTCCCCTTCAAGGAAAGATTCCTCCGAGACCACAAATTAATTGCGATCTCGGCCTTCTCCTGTACCTTCAACCAATTCATTCCGAACTGGATATCAGGACCGAACCAGACCTCGAGTATCTTGACCGGCCCATCCGTCCAGTGGAAAGGTCCGGGAAGAGAAATTCCCTTCCTCGCACCCAACCGCAAGCCAACAGACTTATCGCGGTTGATCTTGGCCCCTGTCACAATCTCATAACCACTGATTTCTTTGCTGACTTCCTTAATCTCGGCTCTGCTCGACACAAGAACCGAAACGTCGTCAGCATAAAGCGATGTTAAGAAGAAATTTACTTAATTTATAAGTGCAGACAATATTGATATTATGAGTTGTCAAGGTTAAGGAAAATCTATTTTAATTTAGGGTGGCTGGGTTTTAATTTCCATAGACAGCTTATGTATCCAATATATGTAACTTACAAAATCAAGTTAAGTTTAGGTGGGGTGGGGGTGTCTGCTAACAAACGTATACTTCCGTTATTTAGTAAGTCGTCTGGGTTTTCAATGAAAAAAATTTTGGCATTTTTATTCATCCGCTTAATTCATATTTTTATACAAAGATTTTCTAAAAGGGTCATTTAAATATGTGCAAGACATATTATTATTACTTAAATGTTGTTAATTAAACTTTATTCTTATAGATTTAAAGTTGCATTTGACCTTTTAATAACTAATAGACTATATGGTATTTTTACAAATATATATATTAGAATTTAATTATTAATTAAAAATCAAATATAAAAATGTATGTTCTATCTCTATTCTTTATTATTAAAAAA